CAAAAACCAATACCCACGGGATTAAAAGAGGGAACAGGATGGGTGGGATAGGGATGGAAGCTAAAGCTTTCTGAACCTATCTTTTAGTTTTACCTATAATATATCCAAATAAAAGCATTATAAGATTAAAAAAACAAAATTAGAAAAAAGCAGGTTCTAAAATTCAAAGCAAATGGAAATAAATGAACTTTCCCCCCCTAAGTTATCATCCAGAGAGGTATCATTTGGAGAGACTTCAAAAAAACAGTATTTGGCTCCATCTCTGGTGTGATATATTCTGAAGACAAAAGATGTATAAAACCAAAAACTTATTCAATAATCACAGTAATAATGCTGGTATTATTATTTTGAAACAGAGTAAGTCCCTTTCACAGAAATGGCTGACTTCACAGTCAGGGAAAAGAAATGCTCATGATGAATCTATGTTATCTTTGTTTTGTCAGAAAGGATACAAAAGCTAACTTGAAGAATTTCCTATTGACCACAGTTAGGACTGTTTAAGCATAAAAAAGAATAATGACTGCAATGGATGGAAAATACCAAATATATAAAATTAATGAGCTCTAAATAACAAAAACAAACTATGAAAGCAAACAAAAACCCCTCACCTATCAGGAGTTTGAGGCTTGCTTGTGAACCAACTATTATGGAAATAGATGAATTAAGAGAAAAAAATTAAGCTTTTATCTTGCCTTTTCTGTATCAAGTGTATTTCAAATAACTAAACAGATGATTTAGGGATGTTCTCCTTAGAATTCTGGCTAATTCTGTCAACAGAAAACTACATTTGCAACCCTTAATGAAATAATCCAGAGTCAATGATTTCAGGTGTTTCAACCTGTTTAAGTCTTAGTATCACTAAAAATAGGGCAACCAGACATCACTGCTTCCCTGTGTGATGTACTATGAAGTATACACTGGTTATGATACAAATTTTCTTGTCAAAGGAATTGAACATAAATCTTTTTTTCAGCTCTATTGAGATATAATTGACATACAGCATTGTGTAAGTTTAAAGTGCATAACCCAAAGGTGTGATAAAAACTGAACCTAAATCTAATCAAAATCCTAGAACTAGCCACCCGCAGAAGGGGAGTACGTCAAATAGAACATTGTCAATGGTTCCAAAAGAATACAATCTGGCAAAAACAGGA